AGTGAGCTGGGGTCACTTGCCCCTGCCTGCTTTGGGCTTGCAAATGCCCCTATGGTCTCCAGGCATCTCTCCATCCTTTTGGGGGGCAGGGAAGGGCATGTAAGGGAAGGGCAAAGACTTGCCAAGGCCTCCCAGTAAGGTAGAGGTTAGGGCAGGGGTGAGTTGGACACAGGTAGTTGCTCTAAATGCCCTGGGGCTGCCCACTCCTCCTCAAGGCCCCTGCACACCTCAGCTGCACGGATAGTGACATCACTGCTTTCAACTGTGACATCCTGGAGGCTTTACACCCAAGGACTATCTACCCATTAAGATCATCTAGAGGAGAGACTGAGGGTCCTCTGGGAGCTGGGTCCTTGGTTCCCAGAGAAATGGGTGGGGATAAGGCAGGAATTGGGGAGGCACATTTGGAGCTCTGCTGCCTACCTGTCCAAAACAGATCTTGCCTTTCTCTGGTCTCATTCAACCTGCCCACTGGGCAATGGCAGGGAATCATGACCATGTACCTCACTGGGCTCTGAGTGTGCTCACCTGTCCCCTATTTTGACAAGGTGTTAGAAGAGGGGCTCCCTCCTGAGGTTCCATGGGGATTCCGCTTCCTCCAAACCCCTCATGAGAGGCCAGAAGAAACCCATAAACCAGGTAGGGGCTCCCAGAGAGGAAGGATCAGGCCCTGCTTTTGTAATCTGAACCTACCTCCCAGCCCAAGCTTCATGCCTCATTGCTACACTAGGAAGCTTCTGTCACAGTTGGGTGAGAGTCACATGGAAGTCACAGCAGAGTGACATGTAAACAGAGCCCCTAGGCACATGGCAGCCTGCATCCCAGCACCACATGTACTCTCTCTGCATTGGGAATTGGACCGTTGGATCACATGCCCCTGTGTGTTGCACTTTGTGAGTCTTTATTAGACATTCCTCTAACTTCCAGTCCAATGCAGTAACTCTCAGGGACTCAGCACCATGGCAGCCTCTCCTCATTTCCTTTGCCCTCATGTAGGCATCAGCCCATGTCCTCCCCAGTGGTGAGTCAGCCAGGGGAACTGAGCATTTGGACATGTCCTCAGTGTCTTGTTCCCATCCTGATGCCCTCTCTTCCATGCACTGCCTCTCTGTCCACTACCCAGGCATTGTTCCTGGAGCCATTCTGTCTCAGGTTACTCCAGAACCATCTTTCTAGAGTCCATCCATGTTCCTTGGGGGCAGAAACAGAAGCAACACTTTCCCAGACATTGACTGTGAATGTGAGATAGGGACTGGTCTGGGCATGGGATCCGGTAAACTCAGCCCTGGAAACTTCTCTTCTGTCATTAGCAGAGTGGGAGCTGGGAAGTCAGAAATGCCCCCAGTGGGTGAGGACAAGTTCTGCAGCCCAGAAATAAGGATTGGGGTCTGCTGGGCTAGAAAGATGGCTCAGTGGCTAAGAGCACTTTCTGTTCTTCCAGAGGATACAGGTTATTTCCCAACATCTACATGGTGACTCACAGCCACCCATAACTCCAGTTCTGGGCATCGGATGTACTCTTTTGATCTCTGTGGAAACCAGACATGTGTGTGTTGTACATGAATATATGTACCATACACATGAAATAAATAAGTCAAAAAAATTTTAAAAGGACAGCAGCCTCTCCTCATGTACCATCTTCGGGGCCCTATCACCTCAGCCACCTCTTTGGATCCTCAAGACAGATCCTCATGGCATAGGCAAGGATTGATTATCATCTGTTTTTTGTTTTGGTTTTTTGTTTTTTCAAGACAGGGTTTCTTTATGTAGCCCTGGCAGTCCTAGAACTCACTCTGTAGTGCAGGCTGGCCTCAAACATACAAAGATCTGCCTCCCAAGTGACTTGAAACTAAAGGCATGTGCCACCACCAGCATCATCTGGTCTTTATAGATGATGAAATTTGGGGCTGTGAAGTTCACTGAGTCATCAAAGGCAAGGTAGAATCCAAACCTGCTGACTAAAATCCAGGGCTTGTCACACCCAAACCACGCTGTAACTTCACCGAAGTTCCTGAGGCCGGTTCACACGCCTTCTCCACACCTGTCCCTCTCTGTTAGAGAGTGTGGCTCTGGTGAAGCCATACTCAGTGGCCTTTCCCCTTCCTTCAGCCAGCCTTCCAGGTACCGGGTAGATAGCTGGCTGAAGGCAGGGAGGCAGACCTGCAATGCTTTGTTCTGTGTCTGAAGGGTGTGTGCACCTCCAGCTGGGGTGTACAGATGCAAGCCTCCCTCAGCACCCTCAGGTGCTTTAGGTCTTACAGGAACTTTCCAAGCTCAGAGTTTACCTTGAGGGCAGATTGGGCAGATTAGCCTGAAGTGAGGGCAGATTAGCACTTCCTAAAACTACGTCGGTGGGGGGAGCACCCTCCCCTGGCAAAAGCTATAGCCATAAATATATAGACCCTTGCTTGACTTGAGAATAAACCCTCCTTCAACCCCCAGTTCCATCTGCCACCAAGACCTGGTAACATGACCTGTCCCTTTCTCTCCAACTCTACCACTGAGTTCCCAGTTTCTCTGTAGTTCAGGCAGACCTTGCACTTTGCAGTCCTCCTGCTTCAGCCTCCCAAACATCTGGGGTGACAGGCCTGTACCATCAGGGAGTTCCAAGTACCCTCAGTTTACCTGAAGACACAGTAAACTCCACCCTCCAGCGAGCCAGGCATGTTCGTGCACACCCGGAAAGTGGGGTATTGAGGCAGGGAGATTTTAAGGCCAATTTCAGTTACATAGTGTCTCTAGTTATTTGGTTGTGTGGGGGGTGGGTTTTGTTGTCGTTTTGTTTTGTTTTGAGACAATGTCTCACCATGTAGCCCGGGTTGGCCTCAAACCTGAGTGCCAAGTTTATAGGTGTAAGCTACTATGCCTGGATTACATAGTGAGTTTGAAGTTAGCCTGGACAACATAGCAAGATCCAGTCTTGAAAATAAATAAATGGCCAGGCCTGGGTGGGGGTGGGGGGTGGTATGCCTTTAATCCCAGCACTTGGAAGGCAGAGGCAGGAGGATCTCTGTGAGTTCGAGACCAGCCTGGTCTACAAGAGCTAATTCCAGGACAGCCTCCAAAGCCACAGAGAAACAACTCCCCCCAAAAAATTAAAATAAAATAAATGGTGGCTAGGTGGTACACGCCTTTAATCCCTTCACTCTGGAGGCAGAGGCAGGTGGATCTTTGTAAGTTTGAGGCCAGCCTGATGTACAGAATGAGTTCCAGGACAGCCAGGGCTGTTATTCAGAGAAACCCTGTCTCAAAAGCAAACAAATAAATGGGTGACAGCAGGGGTGGGAGGGAGCTGAATAGATGATTCCGTGGTTAAAGCCCTGGCTACTCTTTTGGAGGATCCGGGTTCAGTTCCAGAAGCTCACAGTCATCTGTAACTCCAGCTCCACGTGATCCAGCACCTTCTTTTATCTTCCTCAAGGGCTTGCATGTTTGTCTACACTTACACATACACATAAATAAAAGACAGTAAATATTAATCTGAAAATAAACATTTAAAGCTGGGCACGGTGTGGCTCCATGGTGGCTCACACCTTTAATCTCAGCACTCGGGAGGCAGAGACAGGCAAATCCCTGAGTTTGAGACCAGCCTGGTCTAGTGAGCCAGTTCCAAGACAACCAGGGCTACACGGAGAAACCCTGCCTCAAAATAAATAAATAAATAAACAAATACATTCATACATATTTAATTTTGTAATATAAAAAAATCATCATTATGCTTTCGAGGTCGAACCACACCCTTTCAATCCACTCTGCATGGGAAGCATAGGAAACACTTCAGGAAACACCTCTGACCTGTCGTCTGTGCTGATGTCTGCGGTCCCTTAGACCTCACCAGGGTTACACGTAAGGCCCTCAGTCCTCGGTGGGCACCTTGAGCCACACCAGCCCTCTCTCCCAGGCTTTCATCCCTGCCGTCCTTTGTCCAGCCACAGGATCTTTGCAGATAGTCCCCCCTCTGTGTGAAATAAGCGACAAAATACCCAGTCAATCTGAAAGGAGTAAAGGCTTTTCTGACTCCTTCAGAGGTTTCATTCAGCCTGAAATCTACAGGCCCTGATGTGTCGCGAGTGTGATGAGACTGCCAGCCTTACAGACAGCCTTCTGTGGAGAGAGCTGTTCCCCTTGTAGAGGTCAGGAGGGGGAGTGGGACCACCACCAGCATCCCAGCAATCCTCTTCAAGGCCACACCCCCATGATCTAAAACCTCCCACTAGGCCCTGCCTCTTAAAGGTTTCCACAATCTTCCCATACACCAAAGCATTACTAAGCTTTTAAAACGCAACCTTTCTAATGCTGAAACCCTTTAATACAGTTCCTGTATTAAAGTGTTGTGATGACCCCCCAGCCATAAAGTTACTTTATCGTTACTTCATAACTGTAATTTTGCTACTGTTATGAGTTGTTACGTATGTATCTGATACGCAACCCACAGGTTGAGAACCGCTGTTTTAACACCTAGGCTTCCGGGCAGAATTCAAATCCAGGCTACAGCACCATCTCCTTCCCCTTGTAAACTGGCTTCTCCACATCTCAACATAAAACCTTTCCTGCCTCCCTGTCAGTTCTGCCCGTGGTGGTTAAGTCTTTGCGCTGCACTTCTTCAGGAGAGATGCGTTGCTCTATACTTGTCTTCTGCAGCCGGGTTAACCTCCTGAAGACAACCATTCTCAGCATCCGGCACAGTGCCTGGCATATAGCTGGTTGCTGACTAATCATGTGTCCAGTAAGGAAATGAGCGAATCAGCTTTCTCAAGTGGGCGCCACTACCATCCCCACTTCACAGACAGGAACCGAGGCTCTGAGAAATAGCTAGCTCAAGGTCCCACAGGGGCCAACCGGGAAAGCAGGACTTAGGGCCAACTTGGAACACAAAGTTCACATGTTTAACCACTCCAGTGGCCTGGCCTCTCTGACTACCTGTCTTGCTCTCCTGTCAGGCTCCGAGAGGACCGAGTTGGGAACTGAGACCCCCGTCCCCGGCATCTGCAGGCAGAACCATGGAGAGCCTCAGTGAACTGCAGAACCCACTGCTGCCGCGGAGCCCCGCCCACCTCCACAGCCCCTACCCCTACCCGGAGGCCCCGTCCAGCTGGTCCTGCCAAGAGAAGCTTTATAACTACCTCCTAGGAGGTGCTGGTCCCGCTCACACCCACCAGCTCCTGGACCCAGGGTCCCTGCAGCTGGCTGTGGAGGCCTGGTATCGGCCTAGCTGCCTCCTGGGGAAGGACAAGATCAAAGAGCCCAAAACAGGCAGCTGTGAGACCAGCTTCACCGAAGCCAGGGAGCCTCCAGTGGGCCCCGCAGAACAGGGCTCAGAACCTGGTCAAACTGAGGAGGATGTCACCATCCACACTGTGTCCTATGGGGTTCAAGAGGAGCTGCAGGGCCAGGAGGACAGCCAGGAGGAGGAGGTAAGCAGCATTTTTTAAATGTAGATTCTAAGCTGGGCATGATGGGGCAAGCCTTTAATCTCAGCGCTCAGGAGGCAGAGACGGGAAGATGATGTATTTAATGTCAACTTTGCCTATATAGAGTTAAAACACATCCTGCATTACGCAGTAAGACCCAATCTCAAAAAAGAAGGCACACTTGTATTCACAGCACTTGGGAGGCGGAGACAAAAGGATCAGGAGTTCAAGGTCGGCTCTGGCTACCTGGTGAGTTCAAGACTAGCATGGGCTAGCTACAGGATACCCTATTGAAGGAGGAGGAAGAGGGGAAGGAGGCAGAAAAGCGCTAGCTTGGGTTAACTATTTATCAACCCAAGTGATAAATCGCAATCACTGTAAATAGCAGCTATTAATCACTTGGAAATAATGTGATTATTTTGGTGACTGATCAGGTTTCCTCTTTGCCGCTCTCCCACAAAGTGTATGGCTTTATAACCCGATTTTCCGATATTGCTCCATGTAATTTAATATGTTCTTCAAGGTGATTTGTAAAGTGACATGGTCTTTCATTGTGAGCTTTTCCATTATTTGTTAACTTGATCACCTGGTCTTTGGGCACTGAGAACGCCGTTCGTCTTCGCCCGTCTCTCTCCTGTGAGACTTGCATTCTTCTGTGATGAGAAGTTCCTAAAAGTGGCAGTCACCAGGTCACTGAAAAGACTCTGAGGAGAGTATGACAAGACCTACCGGCACTCTCAACCAGAGGAGGCTTGGTCTGTGTGTGCCCACTGGATAGTTTCTGATCTGTTGTTGCATTTTTAAATGAATATATATATATATATATATATATATATATATATATATATGTCTGTCTATTTACTGTATGAATGGTCACAGCATAGATGTGGGAGTCCAATGACAACTCATGGGAGTCAATTATCTTCTTCCACCGCTGGGTCCCAGGGATTAGTGGCTGGCAAAAGAACCACGTGTTTTCAACTCTTTTCAGTCTGACAGAGTTTGCAAGACCCTGGCTTTTGCCACCAAACCCCACTCTCTTGCAGAGTGATGCAACCTCGACAGAGAGTGAAAACGAAGACACCTTCCTCACCCTGCCTCCCAGGGACCACTTGGGGCTCACTCTGTTTTCCATGCTCTGCTGCTTCTGGCCTCTGGGCATTGCTGCCTTCTACTTCTCCCAGGGGGTAAGTGTACTGGGGTCTCAGTGGTCCCTCTCTGGCCAACTCTCTCAGCTGGAGGACTTGACACTCACCTGCAGGATGGGAAGGGCCTGGTGGACCTGGCTGTTTTGCTGACATGGGGATATTGTCTTATATCAGTCTTTTGTCTCCCTAGACCAGCAAGGCTATCTCCAAAGGGGACTTCCGCCTGGCCACCACCACCTCCCGCCGGGCGCTCTTCCTGGCCACACTCTCTATCGCTGTGGGGGCCGGTCTCTATGTGGCTGTAGTGGTGGCTCTGGCTGCTTACATGTCCCAGAATGGCCATGGCTAATGGTCAGTAGGACCCTCGTCCTGGCTCTCCTGGCCTACCAGAGGAAGGTGTAAGGCTTGGAACTGTGTGCTCTATGGAGAGCCTTGACCCTGAAGAAAACCTGTGACCATAGCTTGTTGAGGGGAGGCCTCACAGCCCTCTTGCCCACTACTCCCAGTCCCATCCACCTGGCTGAGCAGGCCAGGTGTGGATGGGAAGCAGGAGAGGCAGGGTTGTTCAACAGGCCTAACCCAACCTACTCTGCCCATTCCCCACATAGGCAGCTCAGTTCAGCACTTGCCATCTTCCCCACAGAGAAAGAGCAGGAGGTTCCAGGGAGGAAAAGGAATGCCCAAGGCCAGTCTTTCCAGACCTTGGGCCTCTCCCCTGTGTACATCCAACCCCTCCCCCATGATGCCTGAGATACTTCAATCAGGAAAGACATAGGTGGACCCCAGCCATCCCTAGCTCTTTCTGACCCCGGGTACTACACATCTCCCTTGTTAGTGTGGCAGACAGTCTGCAGTGTCTCCCAGGGTGGAGATGGCATTGGTGAGCTCTGTACTAAGGGCAGGTTTCTGGGGATTTTCTGCTGTAGACAAAAGGCAAGTACAGTGCCAGAGAAGATGCAGGCCTGGAATACTGCAGGACCACACGTTCTCCTCACTTTGCCATCTTTTCTGGGCTCTGCTGAGAGGGCCCTGAGATGGTATCCTCCACAGCAGGGGAGACTGAGACACTGCATTGTTACTCCCCAGCTATTGAGTGCAGGGTCCTGGATACAGGCTTATGGGAAAAGGGTGATAAGGAACTCTGGGAAATGTAGACAGAAGAGGGACGTAGACAGATGTGGACTGCAGAGCAGCCAGCAGTGCTCAGGAGGAGGTACCTATCCCCTGAGGAGAGTCTAGAAGGACTAAGAATCCACCTAAGGGATTTGCTTCTCTGTACCTCTCCATCCTGGTGGGCAAGGGTGTGTAAGAGCCTCCCATGGAGGTTTCCAGGCTGTTTGGATTCTGTCTGGACTATTCATTCAGTCTGGAGTAATTTTGCAGCCATTTCTAAATCCTCCATCAACCTAAGCAGGAAGGCCAAGCCTTTCTCTCCTCCACCCATGATGTTTTCCCATCTTTGAGTGATGGGGTAATGGTGGTAATGGCCCCTGAGCACCTTCACTGATAACTGCCACTCAGGACTGCTTTCAAGCCCCTCCACCCCAAGCCACTAAGGAATGAGAGAGTTTCAGAGACATCGAGAGCAAAGGACACGGTGCAGTGGAAAGGGAAGCCCACTGGGACTCAGCCTCATACTGAGCACGATTTGGGGAACCTGGCCATTTACTCGCTCTGGTTCCACCGCTGACCATCCTTGGTCCCACACCCTCCCCATCCCCCTCACTTCTGGTATTGCCCACGCTCCATTCCCTGCACTGGCAATTTTAATGTCCCTGTTCTGTCTTTATTTATCCTGATAATAAACTTTTCTCTAACACCTGGTGCCATCTTGGCCTCTTGCTGTACTGTGTCTGTATCCCATGCTTCTCCGACTTCCATCATCCCATGACTGTTGTTCTGGATCTCCATATGGGCCCCAAGAAAAGGGGCCAGAAGCCAATGCTGCCCTAAGACTGCTTGACCTGGGGTACCTGCAATGTAGGTTGATGGATTGCATTTGACTTATATGGCGCAAGGTAAGATAAGATGCAAGCCTGAAGAAAAAGCTCTCCTAGGTGTAAGAGTCTTGGGGGTCAGGAAGGGAGGTAGCTTTCATGTCTTGCCCCTTGGATGGAAGATGATGCCCTAGCTCCCTGGGGGCCCCAGTAGGCCCCCAAACTGTTTTCACCGCAGCAATTCATCGGTAGCTTGGCCCTCATTGGCCACCTTCCTCCCTCTCCTTCCCATTGCTCTGCTGCACGGCCTGAGATGTTAGCTTTGAGGGAACCCAGGCACACACATGTGCATTCACATCCATATGTATGTATACCATATGTGCACACATTTGCATATGCGCGCACCTCCACATGGGCCCAGCTGTGCAACATGCAGTCTGCGTGCAGCCTATGAATGTTCAAGAGGCCAAGGCGGTGGTGTGAAGACGCCCATCCATTTCTGCCTACCCTGAGACAGACATCATTCCTTCTCCAGGCTGGCACAAGGCCCCAGTCCTAACTAGGCAGTCTGCCTCGCAGCCCAGGCAACACTCACTTCCTCCCCAGTCTTCCAGTGTGCTGTTCTAGGCCCTGAGAAGAAGGAAAGGGAGCCATATGACTTCCTGTGTCCTCCCTCCCTCCCTCCCTTCTTTCTTAAGACTGAGACTCAATATGTCTCTCAGGCTGCCTCCTGTCGGCACCTTACCTAGATTGATTTACTATTTTCAACCCCAGTCAGTGCCCCGCCCCTCCCCCACATCCTCTTCACATCCTTTTCACTTACATCCCCACCCTGGATACAAATTTAGGCTCTACTGAAGATAATGGGATGAGAGGCAGGGCCCTGGGGGCTTCCCACTCCCTCCTAGGAAAGGCCTGTTCTATGGAGCCTGGCCTTGTCCTCGAGTCCTTGGAGCACAGGCAACCACACTCCCCTATTCTGGATGAGGCCTGCCTCTGGCATGCCTGGGGCACTTTAGTCCTCCTGCTTCCGGACGCTGCCTGTGCCTCCTGCCTGAGGCCCAGGGCTGTCGGTTTTTCCCCTTCCTCCTCTGGTTCTTCTGGCTGGCAGAGAGACTGGGGGCTGGGACAGTCCCCTGGGTAAAGGTGCCTGTGATGAACAGCGGTGCCAGCACATCTGTGCAAATATTACCAATTATTTTCCTCACTATAAACACTCAGCAGGAAGGCAGGGAAGCAACCAACCCAAACTGTTTAAAATAGAAACTGAAATTGCTGCACAGGGAAGTTGGGGCAGCTGGCAGAGCAGGGCCACACACACACACACACACACATACACACACCAAGAATTCAGGGTCCCCTCACCAGCTGCCCTTCCGTTGCACCTGTTCCCCCTGCCCCTCAAACCTAATTCCATCTTGAAGTTTCCTGAGGGTCAGAAAGGATGAAGACAAGAAAAGTCCTTGGTTAGTGGATGAAGTATCTGGCAGAGGGGGTAGCCTATGCTAGGGAGGAAAAAAGACTGAACAAAGAGACAATGGGGAGCCCGGGGCTAAGGCCACATGGCCTGTGGTTGGCAGCTGCCAGGCAGGTTTCTGCTAAGTAAGCCACAGAGCCCAGGGTTCCATATGGGAAGGAGTGAGGGGAGGAAGTGTCTTTTCCTTGCACCCCAGCCCAGGTGAGAAAGCCACTCCCCTCACCTCCCCAGAATGGGCAGGAGGGTGGGAGGGCTGGGCCGAGTAAGGACAGTACCTGTCCCGATCCTAAGAAAAGGCATTTTTCTGATGACTGGAAGCCAGTTCCCAGGGCTCCAGCAGCCTTCTCTGACCTGCCCTCCCCTAAGGGAGTCTTCATGTAGTCACTCCAACTCTGGAAATGGTGACATACTTTCACACCAGTTAATAAGCAGGATCTGTCCTTCCAAATACTTTTTCTCTTTCCCTGGCTACAGGCCCAGGGCTCCAGATCTTCCCCTACCCTAGAGCTCAAGAGTTAGCAGGCAGCACAATAGTCCCCTTCCCCAAATGTACAGGCCTATGTCTGGGCTGCCCTGATGGTTAAACATCTACCTGGCCCTGGCCCTGAAGGCAAAGTCCACCTGTCCGTGCTCACGGCCTCTCCCCTCCTTAAAGCAACTCCCCCAGGAGGCAGCTGTAGGAAACCCATCACCTTCACATGCCAAGTATTCTTGTTGCTTGTTAAGTTCAGCCTCGGTCAAAGACTGGCTAGGCCTGAACCCCACTGAAGGACAGTGCTGTAACAAGACAACAACCAAGTCTTCTAGGGCGTGAATCTAGGAAGGCCCCAGAAGGAAAGAATCCATAAGTGACCGTGCTGCAGATGATCAGGCTGTGGAAGAAACAACAGAAATCCAGCAAGGAAATGAGTTACCCAGTGTCACAGGTTATGAGCTCAGTCCCGGCCTCACTCCCAGGTCCTGGTGCTGCTGATCTGAGCTGGTGATATTAGCCTTCCTGAAGGCAAAGAAAACCCAGGGCCACCTGCTGCCACCTTCCTGTACATTAACAGATGCCTTAGCTCCCAGGTATCTCTCAGTTCAAAGGCTTCCCCAGCTGCCCCTCCCTAGGGCTGACACCTTGGCCCTTGCTATTTCTGGTGGCCCAGGGTGGGTGAGAGGTGACATCCTTGCTTCAGCCTGCTCCCAGGGTTCTCACATCCTGTCTTTTACAGAGGAAGAAACTACTCTGGGCAGAGGAGTCCCCACAGGGAGACTCAGATGTTCGGAACAGAAATAAAAGGTGTTCATGTGGCTCATTTGAATTTCCAACATTCCACCCTCTGTCCCTGAAAATTCTCTCTCTGAAGAGCAAGGCTGGCCTCAGAGCCACTTCCAGCTCTGCAGGGAAACGGCAGAAATTCCCAGGAGCAGGGTCTGCCCAGAAGCATCCCAGAAGTAAACAAAGGGGACCATAGTCATGCTTGCACCACAGTGAAATAGAGGCAATGGCATCTTAAGTACACAAAGGACCTTCCAACAAACTCTCTTTCACAGAGGGGGCTACTCCTGTTCCCCATCTTACAGACAGGGAGACTGAGGCTAACGAAGTCTCTATCACAGTAAAAGGAAACACAGCCTGTGGCAGTCATCACCCAATGCCTATGTCCTGTCTGAAGCCAATGTCTGGCCACCTCTATTCCCAGCCCTGTCTGTCTGTAACACTTCTGCTCAGCGGTGGGCAGAGACACAGAGTAACAGAAGGCTGAGGTCACAGCTTCCTGGAGACAGATTCCCCGGCTCAAGTCACATCCCTCCTTCTGTGTAACCTTGGGCAAGCTGCTCCTTGACGTTTTTCCCATCTGCAAAGATAGGAAATAGGGGTCCTGCAGGAGCACACCTTTAATCCCAGCATTCAGGAGACAGAGGCAGATCTCTGTGAGTTCAAGCCCAGCC